TATCAATTTATCAATTGGAAGTTTTTTGCAAATCAATAATATAGTGTATAGAATATTTTCTATTATTAGAGATAGATTTTTAGGTCAATATTATCTAACTATTTTGATTTTTATGAGTGGTTTATCTTAAGAATTTTGTATTTGTTATAATGGATATTATATTTCTTTTATTCAATAATATTTTATTTTACATTTTAGATACAAATTATTGTTAAATTTTAATTATTTATTGACAAATTAATGTATTTTATTTTAAATTTCAATTTTTAAATATAAAATTTGTAACAATTATTATTGTTTTATTTTTTATAATTATATCGTTTTTATTTTCAAAAATAAGGAAAAATATTTTAAAGATTTTTAATCTTAAATAACAAATCTAATTAGATTTATGTAACATTCCAAAATTTTCAACAAATTTAAACCTTTCAAAACTACATATTTACTAATAAAAGTGTTTACAAAATCATTGTTTTCAAAACATTATTTAAATCAGAGTCTCCTAAGATCCAATCAATTGTAAAACCAAGGATGTGTACGGTCATGACTTCGCCTTGCCACGGTCCTCCAAGGTACCTGAAACCATAAACCAAAACTGTAAGCACGAAGCTTAGTGAGTTCCCCCAAAATACCACCACACAAACAAATCACATGCACAAACACTCATGCCTGGCCCAATCAGCCTCGGGGTTGGAATACTAGGCATGTCTACGATGGGCACCGTCATCCTCAGGATGGAATACCCTCGTATCATAAGCATGTTTGATCCAATCAACCATCGAGTTGGAATACCAAAACATGTCGGGTCTAGTCAACCATCGGGTTGGAATACCCCCGGATTATTGATTGATGCACAAAGCAGTCCGGTCTGGCAGTCTTACCATATATCATAACAAGCATGTCGGGTCCAATCAACCATCGGTTTGGAATACCCTCGTGCCCAGTCAACCTCCAGGTCCAGTCATCCATTGAGATGGAATACCCCAGGTTGGAATGCCAATATATATAACAGGTTCAGTCATCCTCGGGATAGAATACCCTCGACCCAATCAACCATCGGGTTAGAATGCCCCCGGTCTGTTGGCTCACGCACATAGCAGTAAAGCCTCAACCACCCACAATGTGCCCATATAACAGTAAACATATAAACAGTCTATAGACAGTCTGACAGATCCACAGATCACTAAGCATAGCATAATCATATATACCAGGATACCAATCTAACAAATCACTACATCACGATAACATACTATCACATAACATGATATCAAATCCAAATGGTCGGTATTGGTTCCTTCGACCCGCAAGTACAGTGAGGAAGGACTCACCTCAAACTGCCGAATATCTCAGATAAAATCTCGGACTGCCGATTCGGAAAAATCCCCACGCGCTAGCACCAACAAATAATACCAAATTAATAATTGGTCCACGACCCATAGCTAGGATCCAAGTCCGATTGTTCAACACTCAAGATAAAAGTCCATTTTACCCTTTCCTCACTTGGCCCAAAATACGAGGCCCACCAATAGCATCAAAAGCCATTATGGCTCAACTTTATAAAAGATACCCAAAGCTCCAAATGGGCCCAAACACCAAAAGGCCCACATACATAAAACTAGGCCCAAAAGCCCAAAAACCAACAAAGCACACAAATGAGCTTCAATGTCTAAATTGCTTCCAAGCTTCAAGGTCCTTGCACCAACTTCTTCTTCTTCAAGAACACCAACAAAGCACACAAATGAGCTCAAAAGCACTCTTCTCACTTAGGGGTTTGCTAGAGGGTTGAATTCTCAGTTGGAGGCTAATTAGGGTGAAGGTCTTGGGCCATAAAGTTGTTTAAATAGGGTGCAAACCCGAAATTTTAGGGTTTGGAACCCTCGCACGTACGCCCAGCGTACTAGGTCCCTCGCATGTACGCCATGCGTACAAAGAGTACTCCCAACGTACAAAGTTCTGGCAAAAAATTACCAAAATGCCACTATGGGCCATTTTGCACCCCCTTCTCATGACAAGGACTATATTGCAATGTTTATTCATGCTTAGGGTTAAAATTGAAAATACTTCAACATCGGGATGTTACATCACCAGTGGAGTATCATTTTATCCTTAAGTATCGCCTCATGATTCCATTATTTTTAGTTGATGAGATATGCCTCGTTTGTTTCAAGGCATGTTTGGATTATTTTGGCGAGCATGTAGTATATTGTAGAGATATTTTGATATTTAAGTGTCGACACAACATGTTCACCAAATAATCATTAATTTCACATATGATATCTGCAAAGTTAAGAGGGCATTTGTGTAAATGATGACGTCATCCAAGAAACGATGACGTGGCAACCAATATGATATCATTTTGAAAAAAAGAAACAATTCTAAAAAAAACTCACAAACCATCATATGATATCATTTTGTGTTAGAAATGATGTTGTGACAACCAATATGATATCATTTTGTGTTAGGAATCTTCAAAGACTATTTTCACAACCAAAGATTATATATATATATATATATATAGATATTATATATATATATATATATAATATATAATATATATATATATATATATTATATATAGGGAGAGATCAAATGAGAACACCTAAAAGGTTGAGAACGCGAGAACAGTTCTGGACCAATCATTTTATAAGGGTATATTAGTAACTTTATATAAATATTAATTAATGATTTCCTAAAATCTAGGGATAATGATTTTTATTACCTAAAAAAATTAATATTTCCTTTTAGTTAATGATATGTATATAAATATATTTTTTTAAAATTATATTTCCTTTTATTTTAAATCTGAAAAGAAAATCTTAAAAAAATTATTATTTTCTACTATTTCATGTTTTTGTTTTTCAAAAAAAAAAATGAATAGAAATCCAATCCCAAATCAATACACTTCCAATCATAAATGAAAACACATCAAATTACAAATAATTCAATGCATTTTTCATCAATTGAAAATAAAAAGAGTGAAAAAATTATCATTTCTTCATAAAATGAATACCTCTAATCATAAATAAATACACTCATTCACATGAATACACTACTATTCATAAATAAATACAATCATTCACACATGAATACATTGCAATTCACAAATGAATACATTGTTATTTATAAATTAATACACATTCTATCATATAATGAATACATCTAATCATAAATAAATAGACTCATTCACATGAATACACTACTATTAATAAATAAATACAACCATTCACACATAACTACACTGTTATTCATAAATGAATACACGTGCTATTCATAAATAAATACAACCATTCACGCATCCCCTTTCATGATCCGTTTTTATTGTCGATCGACTACAGCGACATCAAGAGTGAATCGGTACTGTTGAGTTCATCGTAGCCCAAGGTGGATTGAAGGCTTTCTTCTCGTCACTCCCGCTCTTCATCTTCTTCCTATTTATTTCAAGCAACAAAACACCACCAAAATCTATTCATTAAGCTCATCAATTTCTGTTAAAAAGCAAACCCAAAAATACACTATTATTTATAAATTAAGAGGGCTAACAATCAATCATAGTTAACTTTTTTTTTTATTATCAAATCTTTAATATTTTGGAAATTACACACACCATTAATAATGAGTTTAGCATTATCATTCATTCTTTGATTTTTAGCAAAACTTAAATGTGAAAATGGATTTTAAATAAAGAAAAGTTCATCAACATAAAAATCAAAATTCAGTATGCATAAAAATAAAGGAATTCAAGACGTGAAGTCTAGTGCAATGGATATTGACGTGAAGGCCAAAACGAGAAGAAAAATAAAGAAATATTGCGTGCATCAACAATGGAAATTAGACAAATAAGATGTTGTAGATTATCTTCATCATCGCCCAATAACAAATAAAATACAATAGCAACTCACCGGTAATAGCTCTGTCGCAACACTTCAGTTAATAGTAACGAGCGGAAAAGGGTTGACGGCTGGAAGGGTTGATAAGAAACCCTAATTGAATTAGATATTCAGAGAAAGAAGTATTCCATATTTAAAAGGCTGATTTTATGTAACCTAAAAGAATGAAATTCCTATACTAACCTTACGTTCATTTAAAAGTTACTAATTGGCTCCATAAGTTTTAAATTTTGACATAAATGGCACACTTGATCTAAACCATAGATCTTATAGTTTATATGATTTAAGATCTGTTCTCACGTTCTCAACCTTTTTAGTGTTCTCATTTGATCTTACTCCTATATATATATATATATATATATATATATATATATATATATATATATATATATATATATATATATATATATATATATATATATATATATATATATATATTCGCATATAAAGCCTCCAATTTTGCAATATCATAGATGTCATATACGAAAAAACTTTTGTTATTTTCTTTCAAAGCAATGTCATTTTGATTGTCAAATCATCGTTTATCACATGACATCATCATTTTGGAGACAGTTTGCAGTTTCATAGATATGGTCTATAAAATTGATGTTATTTTGGTGATTGAGCTATTTTATGAATTTCTTGAAAAATTGTTCATTTTATCTTTATTATTTTTTTTTCTCTTTATTAGTTATCCTTACGGTTTTATTTATTTATTTATTTATTTTAGCGTGATGTGAGGAAAAAAATGATGAGAAAGTTCACATCATTGTTTTCATTTCATGTTTTGTAAATTAACTGATCTTATCTCTACTAATCATCTAGGCCCAGTCCATAATACTATTTTTCAAACTTTAGACTAATGATGCCAATATAGATCATATAATAGAAAATACATAATTTTGTTACCACTATAAAATTATATTTGTGTGGAATATCCAATTTACTTTTTTCAAATGGTTCTTTTCTTGAGCTGCTATTAGTATATATTGTTAGTTTTGAATTTCCACCACACGTTTAAAATCCAATATGATATCATTCATATTCATAAACCTCTACAAAATTTCACAGGTAAAAAATATTATTAACTTTGTTGACGAATTATAAGAAATTTCAATCATCCTTGTCATCCTCCTCATCTTCTTCTTCATAGTAACTAAAAGGAAGTGGGACAGATTTAAATGCTCGATACTTTCCAACATTGTTCAAATGCTCATTCTCCAATCTGCTCACAAATAAATCACATCAATCATTATATCTATATCTATACATACAAACTTAGTGAATGGAATAATATTTTGTACATACCTGAAAAACATCCACACCCCTCGCCTGAATATTTCTAAACAGGAAAAAAGACTTGATATGGCAGTTCCTTTGAGGTAATGTAGGTTAAATTTCAATATCAACTGAAGCCACGTAAGCCTCAACATAACATCCAACACCTGTAACACAATAATTATAAGAAAAACGAAGACAAACAACGATTAATGATAAGGATTAAGGATTAAGGAAAAATTAGGACTTTTGTTTTTATAATTTATACCATCACTACAAAGTAGACACTTGTATGCCTTACTGAAAGTTTGTCTCTAAGGAACAAGTTGTTTGAGTTCCTTTGTAAAAGTCCCCAATCCACAACTATATCCCAATACGTGTTGAACATAATTGAAGCGACTGAAGTCATAAGAGCCAAAACCTTCCATGTCTTCTTCATCTTTAATTCAAACACAGTTCTGAATACTACTGCAATAATTGTCAACAAGTATCTTGATCCGTTTATCAAATGCACCCAATCTTTTTCTTCAACCAATCTCCGAACACACTACAATTACAACATACAAAAATTAATATCCTACAATCGTTTATATGTCATATTATTGTTGATCACCTGGAGGAAGCGAATCCAATATGGTATAACTGCTACAATAATGTAGAACACATTGTAGAGATTAAGCGTATGACATTTTTGCTCCTTTTGATACCATCTCATACCATAGTAGCATATGTAAAATTCTAAGCACCTCATCGCTTGAATCTGACTAGTCAACTGATCTGCTAAAAAAAAGTCTGCAAGTGAAACCTGAAATCATAGAAAAAATAAAATTAACGTGTATGTAAGTTGGAAGATTTTTTATATGGAGCATATTTTTAGTTTTAATATATACCTTGTAGAGAGGAGCGCAAATGCAATGGAAAAGAGATTTGATAAGAAAGAAACGACTGGATTTGTACAAGATATTGAAAGGGCAAAAGAATATGAGAAGAAGTAGAATGAGTAAGATTAATGGAACTAATTCAATGTATTTTTCATATATTGAGTGAACAGAATCGAGTTTCATGTGAACGTGAAGAAGAAAGGTGGAGAGTGTGACAACTGCAAGACCAGTGCTGACTAGAAACACATCTTGGTAGCTTAATTCAGTTCCTTGCTTGAATCCAAATATAAACGGGTAGTTGATTCTACAACGCTTCCAGAAATATATATTTGCAGCGTATAAAAGCATGTGTAGGATTATATACGCATATAAACTGCAACCAAAATCAACAATTTGTTATTTGTAGATAATAATAATAATAATAATAATAAGAATTAGTTAATTACAATTTACATGATTACATGATCACCTGTAAAGAGGGAAAACATTTTCCATGTACATGGTGTGCTCCTGTTTAGACATTACTTTCCTTGCTTGTATAAGTAATATGGCAGCAATCAAAAGTGCAATCGAGCAACCAGAAAAGAATCCTAAAAATTAAATAAAAACGTAAACATGATGATATATTTGTAGAATTTGAATTATTGGTTATTATATTTATGTACCTGAAAAAAATGTTACCCTGTGCTTTTCTTTCTTTCTTTTTGGTCTTAATAGTTTCATACCTTCTCTACGATTAGAGTTTGCAAAGTACTTTATGAAGGTGCCCTCTACACGATCCAGAAGAAGAGTAACCTAAAACATTAAATAAATAAAAAAAAAAATCACATTTTAGATTCCAAAAAGTCAAAGATTTTGTCAACACTCCCTTTTGTAAGAGCAAACCTCATCACAGCTCCCGATGTAAGAGTCATCCACAATTTTCATGTATGACGTTGCTGCCCTTCTTAATGCAATCTGCATATATACACAGTAAGATCATGAGAAAATAGAAAAGTCAAAAAGAAAAGACCATAGTTTCCTGACCTTTTCATATTTCTTCATGATCTTTGAGAATGCTAGGATATTTACATAGCTGTTTTTCATTCATGACAAAGAGAGAAAAGTCATGGCTCAATTTTCAATATATGGTTTTAAAGTTCATGATTATTTTATAATTTATATTCACCACCTGTAATGCTTAAGAAGATGAAGCTTGCGATAGAATTCAATAAACACAACTTTCATTCTGCCTTCTGCTTCTTTGAGCTCCTCTTTCTTAAACCTTAAATCTTTGTCTTTTGAGTCATTGAGAACACTTCTGATGGTTGACATTGGGCTTTCAAGGGTATTGTTGATCTTTACACGATCAAGAACATCCAAGGGATCTGATTTATGTTTATCAGATTTGGAATCAAAATGTCTGTTTTCTGCAAAATAGAATTCCAACTTCAACTTCATAGAAAAATCATACTGAATAACATGCAATTATAAATTTATAATAATTATATGATTCAAATTGAACTTTCTCACCACTAGGATTAGTGACATAAGAGCTTCTCATTTGATTCCAATCATTCATCTCAATCTGTTGTTCCTCATCTACCAATTATGGACTCATCATACATAACAAAAGTTAGAACACAATAATTAACCTTTTGTGGACATTTATTTATACATCTTACTTTTTAAAGATTTGGGATATGGGATATACCTAGTGAAACTCTGGTTGGAGAATTTATATTTGAGGATTCTATGGAACCACTATCTGTAGAAATGATTCTCTGTATATGACATTTATTTATATCTGGTTGTTCCACTTTGATACGTAATGCAATCAAAGCATTCATTTGCTTATTTATTGAAGTTGCTTCCTCAATCACTTCCTCCACTTTGTCCCTATAAAAGGTATTAACCTTGTTAAGCTCCTCATCAAGCTTCTGAAAAAATGTAACCTCACTTTGTCTTGGAGACATGAGAAAATTGGTGTTGTATACTTCTCTAGTATCATCTTGCCTCACAGTTTCAACAGCTATAACTTGGTCTTCAACATCACCTGTGCTTTCATCATCAGAGCTTGATCTTACATTTAGACCACTAAAAGGTCTGTATAGTGACAACCTCTGTTGTGAAATTCTAGAAGGTGTTGGAGCTTCTTCTAGTAGTTTACTTTGTTTAATTTCATGTAATATTCTTTTGAGTCCATTATAGTCCATGTAGGCTTCAATCCATTCTGGCACCTTTTGTTGTTTGAACTCCTTTCCAAACTTCATTTTTGAGTATCACTCTCCTTCTTAGAAAAAAGAAAACCTTCAAGTTAGTCAACAAGTCAAAACTTGAAAGCATCAAATTTATGGAGTTCCATCAAACAATCAAACAGGTAAACAGTGCCTATTAGAACTTACACAGTGAACAGTCTTAAATAACAAAGCAGATTTGCAACAGTATGAAGATACTCATGAAGAATCTTACAACTGATATTAGAACTTACATAGAAAATATGTATTCTCTTGAACTGATTGATTGAGGTTACAATACAACAAAAATCTAGGAAAGTATAATCCTAATTCTACCTATACTGTAACAATTGATATATCATGTGATGTATCAAAATTCAGGGGATATTATATCTAAATAAGATAAACCTTAATTACTACTAAATTCTGATTAAAGTACAGATGGTCGCCCCTCAAATTTCAGGACATAAAACAGTTCTATTTTGTGTTTTGATTCCAAAATAGGACCAAAACGAAATTCAAATACATAAGTGCTCAATGGATGAAAAAACTCATCTGTACAAATTCTAAGCCAAAATACAAGAATACATAAGTTTCTGGAGGGAGGGAGCATCATTCAAGTTCTACATAAAGTCATAAACCCTATCAACTCCAAAATAAATTTTTATCGTATAATCATTACACAACCAAATTATGTAGTGAAAACACACATTAAAACAAATTTCAGCTGTATGAACACAAAATAAAGGCAAGTTAAACAAAAGTGTGCGTAGATTGTTAAAAAAAAGGATATAGATAACATGATGAACTCACCAAAACCATAAACACAGATAGCGAATTTGCAGCGAGAACTGAGGAGAGAAAACCTTATCAGAGAGTGAAAGGAAGCGTCTCTTTGGTGTGAGCTGAATGTGAGAGAGGTGTCGTTATAGAGTTGAATGGCGATGGCGGTTTACTTGATTTCTTCAATTTTACCCCAGGCCATGACTATTGAGTATTGAGTATTGACTATCCTCTGAAAATCAGGTGTGCATGCTGAAATGGTGTTGACACGTATATTGAAGAGAAACAAAGGAAATATTAAATATATATACTCTGTTATTAATGACGTAAGCATTTTCCTATTGACCTACGAGTTTTTTTCTTTAAAAAACTTATATATGAATTATATTTCTATCAATGGCTTTTTATTTATCTTCTAAATTTATAAGATTTAAAAAAAAAACAAAAAGAAACTATAAAATGAAAAAGTTCATAGAATAACATTTTTTATTTTATTTTACTAATCTTATTTAATTCAAAAAAAATATCCAAAAAACTACTTTCGTGGATGTTACATACGGGAAGACGATTGCTTTCATACAAATATTAAGGTTAAACGGTCTGGTGCCGGTGGCACCACACTTCCACTTCAGTGATGTTGACACTTTTGTAATTTTTATCATCTTTAAAAAACCTTAATGTGTGGTGTTGATAGATAAAGAGAGAGAAAGAAAGTAGAGAGAGATAGACACAACATGATTTTTGCCATCGGTGGATAGTTACCGCCGGTAAAATACCGGCCGAAAAAACACACCATGGGGCGGTGTTCACCGCCGGTAAAGATGTCCACGTCGGACTACCGCCGGTGAAACCTCTACCACACCCTAAGTAAAAATATTTATTTTCTATTTTGGGTGTAAAATATAAATACATCTAACTAAATCCCGAAAAAATTGAAGGTTTAAATTGTTGTTTGTTTGTCTTGCATCTCAAATTCTCAATATAAAGTTATTTATTTAAACAATAAGCATTTTTCCTTCACAAAATTGTTTGGGCAACTTCTTAAAACAAAATAGGCATAAAATAAGTTCTTTCTATAAAAACCCTATATCTTCACATTTTTTGTTTTAGATCATATTTTTGCCAAAATAAACCCAAACTTTTTCAATTCCTTGTTATTAAATTAGGGCGGCTGATTACTATTGATTATGGGCATCTTCGGCACGGAGCGTTTGAGAGCTTCTAGCTTCTAGTGTTTGACAAAACGTTCCATTTTGAACAGAAAGTCTCGTTCGGCACTACAAGCTTCCAACGTTTAGTTTAAACAAAACGCTCCAAAACCAAATGCTACTTCATGTAGCGTTTAACAAAACGCTACAAGCTACAAGCTACCCGCTACCAGCTAATTTTGCCGAACACGCCCTATGTGATTAGTATTTGCATCCAAATCAAGAATGACTAGTAAACCCTAAAATCATTTGTCACATCTAATCAATATATGCTTCTTTTGTTTTCTTCTTATTCTTCTTATGCACAACATTCTTCTTCTTCTTATACAAACTTTCTTTTGTTTTCTTCTTCACTATTAGTAAGGAATGTTGGACTGGAATTATATGTTGTGAGGATGAAGCTCCTCTATCTACCTCATGGACTCCAAAAAATCCAAGTAGAAGGTTTCATGGATGTCTAAATTCCAAGGTAAGCAAAGTTTCATGGATGTCCAGAAAATCCAGGTAGAAGGTTTGTAAATGTTGCTTTTTTTGCAGGATAAAAAAAATGGATTGCAAATATTTCAGGTGGATTGACGAGGAACTTCCAATTTAATCCTACAATGATCTACTTCTAAAAATGCATTATGATATGCAGGATATGGATGATGAAATTTACCCAATGCACTAATAGATCAAACAATTGAACTTCCGGTTGAAGGAAAAAAAAGAGAAAAACATGTTTGGAGTGTTAAGAACAAAAATTGAGGTATAAAGAACAAAGTTTGAAGAACTGAAATTGAAGTATGATGAAGTAAATTTATGTAATGTAATGTATGTATGTCTTTTGGTACTTTTGGTAGTTGTTATCTTAACATCGATTATCTTAGGGTTGTGGTACTTTTGATGAATGTTAGGATATGTTGTGGTATGTTAGTGTTGTGTTTTGTATAGATAATATACATATGTTTAATGAAAGGATACCAGTCTTTATGGGTTGTGTTTTGTCTTCTAACTTATGGTAAAATACATTACATGCATAAATAAACAAATTGCTGAAATCATGTTGCTGTTTCTTGCATATAACTTTAAGTCAAAAATACAAAAAGGCGTTAAAATGTAAATTCTTCCAGATTCCTGTTACTCGGTTAGTCAAGGCAACAAACATTGCAGCAAAAAGGAAAAGTAAAATAAGCCACTCATAGTGATTGATGTGCAATATACTTTGAAAGTAACATACATAAAATGGCAACATACATCGAAAGTACGTTGCCATTTTATGTATATTACATGGTCCTTATTATAAGTATTGCCTAATACATAAACAGTGGCAAAATTATACATAATTATAAGTTATATACATAAAATGGCAACATACGGGGTAGTTTTATATAGTGTTATAAAATTATATAGTAGACAACGCTTAAAATATTAGTTTTATTGGTTTAATATTTAAAAAAAATGGAACAAACATAAAACCTCGTTAAAGTTTAATGACATAAACCCAAAACTGAAAGTCGAGAGGCCAAAAATGTAGGTTAACTTAGTATAGGGACTATACTTGTAACTCACTCCGATAACCATCACCCCTCGGCGATGAACAGATGAATAGAGAAATTCACAGTCGTCTCAAGAGGGAGGAAGGAAGAGAAGTCTAGCAACGTCGCCAAATCAACTCGCCGGAGTTCCGCCGCAGGTAATATGATATTGTGATGAAGTTCTATTTAAATAGTTGTTTGGATTTACGTTTTAAAATAACTTATAGCTTCTTGTGATAAAATGATTTTCATAACCTAATACCCTCTCGTTCTCATCTTCACTGACCACCATTTTCTCTATTCTCCCCTCTCGTTCTCGTCTTCTTCTTCTCCATCGATCTTTACCACCATTGACCATTACCACCATCTTCCATCGACGCTGCTTCTCCTCCTCTGTTCCTCTTTTCTTCACCAGTCCGTTTCTTCTCCATCGATCATCACCACCATCTTTATAACTTGCGATTGCTCATTGGCTCAAAGCTACTGAAGGTTTGATTCAGTTTTTCCTTGCCCTAGTTTGTTTCCTCAAGAATTTATTAGCTTAATTTGAGAAAAACTTGAAAGGGATTAGGTTCGAAATGGGGGGAATTCGTTTACTGGAATGGTGTGTGATTGTGGGGTAATCGCTTTAGGCGTGATTTGTTGACGGTCTGAGGCTATTCTCAGTTTGTTCTTTTTCTTCAAAAATTTTAATCAAATGTTAAAGTGGATTTTGAATAATGAGATCCCTGTCTGATAACATCTTGATGAAATCTGTGATATGACTCTATACCGCTTTTTATCACCTTCATTGTTTGATTTTGTATAATTTGATTGAAAATATGCACACGACTTGCTATTTGATGGGTTACAACTTACAAGTATACCTTTTTATGAAGATTGTGGGGTAATTGCTTCAGGGGTGATTTGGGATCATTATTTTAGTGTGAATTGGCTTTTTTTTTGGTTGTGAATTTGATCATACTTTCCTGTGTAATGGCATGAACTCTGGCTAATTTTGGTTAATAATAGGTTAATACTTGCAGATCATAATTGGATGAAACATCTTATGGAATGCCACTGTTGTTCTAAAAAGAAAAACTACATTATGGTTAATAATAGGTTAATACTTGCAGATCATTTTAATTGATTAAAAATAAAATATTATATGTAAAATATTAACTAGGCCTAAATATGTAAGCATGTCCTTTTTGGTCACTTTACATATATAAGCTAATCCAAACATTTTTTTTAGAAACTCCTTTCTGTCACCACATAAGCTAATAAGCACTTTTTGATAAAAGTGCTTATTGAGTTGAATAAGCAAAATCCCAAACACCCTCTAAATGAATTGTCAAAATTAGTTCATCTTGTTGCATTTTCAATCAAGATGCTGTTGCACTTTTCTTATAGCTGCATTTCCTCTTTCTTATGAAGTACTTCCAAAAACTGTTTATATTTCCATCCAATCTCTCATAACCCATGACACCCTCTCATGGAACAAGTTAAGGATTACTTCCACAAGTTAAAAAAACAGTTCAGATGAAGTTTAACTATAGATTTTGATGTGTTTGATGAGAAGTTAGATGTTTTTAAATTGCAGAGAATCTTGTGCAAGTTTAAACAACCAGAACATAACATTCTCAACTTCACTCTCTATGCTACACTCATACTCTACTTTTTAAGTGGCTATTTTAGAATCCAAAATTGATTTTTTTTGTTTTGCTATGCTACTAATTTCTTTTGTTTTCTGTGAAACTTGTTTTGGGGAATCATGTTCTTGCTTGAAATCATTTTGATTTGGGATTCTTTTCAACACTGAAACAATCAAACTTAATTTGGGAATTTATCCAAAGTTAACATTTTGAAGTTGTTGATACAGAAGTAAAAAAGCAATGTCATTTACAAAAGGCGACTTGCTTACAAAAACAAGAAAGCTAGTAAATGGTTTGGCCAAAGTGAAGCCTGTTTGGCTCAAGGCTATGGAAAAGTATGTACCCTGGCCTATTGAATTCTTCAAATCTTCAAATTATTTAAATTAAATATTTCTGATTTTGTAAAATGAATTTTGTAGGTCTCCACCTGCAGTGTTTCCACGTGCTGAAAAGAAAGTGGAACGGATCTGCCTCCCTGAGGATGTTTATGTGAATAAGTTCTATAAGAAGCATCCTGAATCATTGCATGAAGATCCCATCAAGTACTTATTTCATCATATTTCTTGCATTTATTCCTTTTTTTGATCTTCATGAAAAGTAATAAAAATTTGATGTTATGGAAAAAAGGATCCGTGATTTTGACCCGACCCCATCTCGTATATTTGGTTGCCGGGTGCTTGAGTTAAAGGAGGAAGGTGTAACCGAAGAGGATGCTATAGATGTAGCCGATGTAAGTAATTATCTAAAATTTTAAATCAATTGTTTCAACTTTCAATTTCAAACAAATATAGCAATAAATAAACAAACTCTAGTAGCTTTAGCAACCCCTGAGCTGGCCCACACTGTTCCACCAGATGAGCATAGTGGCCCAGTTGATTAATATGTACAAGATGTTTTTTTTTTTTACAGACGGAGTATAAGCTACAAAAGAAGGCGAAAAAGAAGGCGTATAAACGATTGAAAGAAATTGCGCGGATTAGAGGGACAAAACTACCCCCGAATCCATATCCAAGTGCTGTAAAGGAGATACAAGCTGAGGAGAAGAAATATGTTCATGACCGTTTTTTCAATCCAAGAATCTTGGAGATTGTTGACAAGCTTAAGGAACAGCAGGCAGCTGACATGCTGGATAGAGGCAGGCCAGCTGGCACCTATTAATGATTACTCCATGCTTTTGGACATTAAAAAATTTAAACTTGTTTTATGCATAATTGAGGTGTAATAAAACACTATAATTGCTTCAAGTTGTTCCAAAGGACTTAGGAGCTCTTTCTTTTTAACTGTATCTGGATAGAATGACTTATTTGCCCTCCTCTCATGTAAGAGTCAAATGGTCATTTAGTTTCATTGAGACGGTTTTTAGTTCTAGAATCTCTGGCCTTTGGCATGTTTCCATGTTATGTAGAATGCTTTATTTGTGGAGTTGTTTTTCTTAACTATAAATTGTTGATACTTTTAGTAAATAAATTTAGAGGGCTGTAATTAATTCCTTTTTCTATAGGATGATAGTGCCCTAAACCAAATAAGAAAGTGAATGTTTCAGTCAAAAAGGCTTGATAGTTGATACCTTTCTTGAAGTGTAATCACTAGTCCTTTTTTACATTCCTTCTTCTATGGCTTTAGTATCCATAGGTCTATTACCTAATTCCTTTTGCTTTTACACGATACTTGATTATGTATTTGGTGACAATGGATACCTTTCATATTGATACATAGATATCTGATTTATTTTAAACAAATTCAAACCACTTGATCATGTTTTAGAAGAAATTTAAATATAGCATACCCAAAAAGTACATTAATTTTGATATCAAGTTCATTCAAATGTGACTCATTGGATGCTCTTAATCATGTTGCATTTAAGTGATGTTTTGATGCTAAATTTCACTCCTTATCTTCGCTTTTTTGGTATAATAACCACAAGTAAAATTAAAATATTAAAAACAGCATACAATGGTAATGCTTTATATTAGTCTAAAGAAAGACCAATTGATTCTAAATTTAAAGAAAAGTTAAAAATATACATATAAATCGTAACAAGATATATCTTTGCTTGAGATTTGCTTTAGCTTACTTTATATTTTCATTTAAGATTTAAGATTCAAGATTTATCTTTGCCCATTGATTCTCATGTCTTTTGTTCTTTTGTTCTCGGTCTATAAATATCAAACCATAGGATAAAAAAATAGAAGGAAAAGAAAAGAAGAATGCAAAACCATACACGTGTCATCATTTTATTGGCATACAGTCTGCCAACTACTCATTCAATATGATCTTTTCATATTTTCTCACAAACACTCGTCTCTCCATGGAACTCACTGCCACAACCGCCACCATTAACAGCCTCCTATTTCCCACCACTCCAAGATCAAGAAACCAAATCAACACATCTTTCAAAAGATCAAATCTGTCCGATCTTTACCCTGCTTGTTCATCTTTCCTCAGTCCCCAAATCATTCTCTCATCAAACCCTAGAAATCCCCATCAAAATCCAGTATTTCTAACCCACTGTTCCACAAAACCAACAATTTCAGATGACAAAGACAACATAATAGAGGATCAAGATTCAATTATTTCATCCGATTCAAATCTCAATATCCAAAACTCACAAAAACCCAACTCAAATCAAGAAAAATCCCCTTCAAACACGTCGGTTTCCAGAGGCTTGGTTCTTGATTTGGGTTTAGAGAGTTCTTGGGATAGTTTTCAAATTGGTTCTCCTGTAGTAAAGCGGTTCCTGAGCGATGAGGAAGAGAGGTGGTACATGTGGTATCATGGAAGATCCGGAGGGAATTTGGATACGCCTTCAATCGGGTTAGCGGTTTCAAGTAATGGGATCCACTGGGAAAGAGGCAAAGGAGCTGTTCAATCTGGTAGCGATGTGGGTTTAGTCTTGAAATCGAGTACTGATTGGTGGGCTTTTGATACAAACGGTGTTATGCCAGGTGAATCCATGGTCATGTCTAGCTCCAAGATTCGAGCAAGCAATGCTGTCTATTGGCTCTATTATACTGGTTTTAGTAACGAAAAGATTGAATTCCTGGACAATCCTCTCGAATTCAGCTTAGAAAATCCTGAAAATGGTGGCAAAACATTTGGGAAGATTTGCCGGTCATTACCTGGTTTAGCAATGAGTCAAGATGGTAGACATTGGGCAAGGATTGAAGGAGAACACCATAATGGAGCTTTATTCGATTTAGGATCCGAAGGGGAATGGGATTCCATGTTTATTGCATCCCCACGAGTTGTTTTCCATTCCAGTGGTGATCTTAGGATGTATTACCACTCGTTTGATTCCGAAAAGGGCCATTTTGGAATCGGAATGGCAAGATCACGCGATGGGATGAGGTGGGTGAAGCTCGGGAAGATCATGGGGGGTGGGCAAGTTGGTAATTTTGATGAGTGTGGGGTCATGAATCCTTGTGTCGTGAAGAACAAGAAAGATGGGGGTTATTTGATGGTGTATGAAGGGGTGGGTGTTGATGGGAAGAGGTCAATTGGGTTGGCTAGGTCTTCTGATGGGCTAAAAGATTGGAGGAGAGTTGGTGGTGAGCCCATTTTGGAGCATGCCGAAGGGTGTTGGGATGATGGAGGTGTTGGGTCGCCTTATCTTGTTCATATGGAAGGCGAAGAAGATGAATGGAGATTGTACTATAAAGGAATAGGGAGAATCGGGCACACCGGAATCGGAATGGCGGTTTCCGATGGCAAAGATGTCAAGAATTTTCGAAGATGGACTGGGTTTCATCTATAGAATTTACCCTTATTCGGTTCTATTAGCTTTGGTATGTAAATCCACGATACATAATTATTTATTTGTAATTATATGGTTAATGGTTATATACTTCCATAACGTGCTATTTATGTTGTGTTTGTTACACGGGACTAGACAAGGACATTTATGTCTTTTGTCTTTAGATGAGAGATCAAGAGTGATTATGTGTCTCACTGTGTTTCAATTTTTTTAGTTGGGAAAAAAAACTATAATTTTTAACAGTCCAGTTTATGCCAAACACAATACAAGATCTTTTGTCATGTTATGTGTAATGAACGTGGATGCGTTTTTGAGAAATTATTGGTAGATAATGCAATCACTAACGCAACTTCAAGTGATAACAAAGAAAACCGAATGCAAAGTTCAAGGAATTCGTATTCTTCTCAAATCATTTAAAAAAACATTTGTATCAATCGTTTTTTAATGTATCATAATCGAACATAAAAATATGGATTCTTAATATTTCATACACAAATTAATCAAGGAAAAACATAGAAAAAATCACAATCGTTTTTAAACTCAAATCAAAGCGAGTGCTTCCTTTGTCGGGATAATGCTATGGCGGCAAGCAAGATTAATAGTATAAACACAACTATCCCGCCAAACGATCCAATTAGTGATCCCGATGCCCGTTGACAGAAGTCGTTAAACTGTTGACAGACTGGCAGCCAGTTTGCAGAGTTGTTACCATTATGAGCCAAATACACAATTGATGTTGCCGTAGATGCTCCGGCCGTTAAAAGAGCCAACATCACCTTCAAAACCATGTTATTTTGCAACTTTAATATCAAGAAAAAAACACATCTACATTTATCACCTTCAAAATCGGGGTATTTATAGAATTTCTTACCGTGTCAAGAATTACCAAAAGAATTCTACTGCCTCTTGCCGCACTCCTCATGACGTGAACGATGGACAACGGAATTGTGAGGACAAAATAGGCGCATACTATTGCATTCACGATCACAAACAACCTATTTTGTAAAATACCAAATCAATAACGGTTTTAGAAACGCTAATGATATGAATGGTAACCAACTTTCTCATTTATCCAACATATGTCACTAAAGATACTTAAACTCGTTATTTTTGTTATAAAAAAACCACCAATGTGACATCCAAATGTTCACGTGGGGGTCTTAAAATTCATTTATATTGAGAATTATGTATGGGTTTGCAAGACATTTGTTGTGTCTCAAAATTCGTTCGTGCAAAATGGAAAGTGTATTTGATATTTGTGTTGGATAGAGACAAACTTACCTGAAAGATGGAAAATCATCATATTGAGCATTGAAACGAACAAAACGTGTGAAAAAGGGTAAAGTTTGTTCTGTGGTTCCCATGGCAATCGAACTACCTAAAGTACCCACGACACCAACAATGCGTAGAACGAGGTCCATTGCAGAAATCCCTTTGTTTGACCCAACTCGGGTTGAGACCTTAGATGTAGCTCCTCCTACTTCGAGTTGCTCGGCTTTCATCATCTTGTATTATGAATTTTCAATTAGAAGATAAGATGACTCTAAGAGTTTGTATTTGAAATTGTTCAAGAAATTAGGGGATTTATACAAATCAAGATAGTTGAGTTAGTATTGTATGTAAGGTTTTGGTTGTATATTTTTATTTCTTAAGAACTTTAAAAAAAAAGTCTTGGACTCTTACCCACTCAAATATTAAAGAAATTGTCATTTGTCAACATCCAACTCCATTATATGGTCTATTTTTGGTAGTTGTTGCTTGGGATCCAAAAATAACATTATGCTTTCTCAGGTGTTGATTAAAGAAATGCATATATAGATTCAAAATAAGGATACGCTTCTTTAATGATTTTATGTTTATTTATACGTAAATACATATACACACATTTATGTTTATTTATACGTAGATGCGCAATGGGTCTATAACCCCTCCCAAGAACCCTAATCAAAATCTTTCTACCGTATATTATACTAAAAAAGAAGATAATTTCTGCCTAGTTTGACAAATTAACTTTAACCTTAGATTGAATGAAATATAGTATTTATTTCATTTTTAAGAAAGTGCCTTATTTTAAGATGAAATATAATTAATGTTTTGTTATTTTGTCAGATATAAACGTAACTATTAAGTGGTTTTGAACATAACTATTAAGTGGTTTGCATTACCAAAACAATGTAACTTTATTTTTAACGCTTGCCTTTTAAACGATATATTTTAAAGTTATTTATAAAATGACCATATTAAGTGGAAGTGTATCTCCAACCAACTATAAATTTTTAGATTGTAACAAAATAGGTAGCTAAAAAGTATTCACAGGTTCTTGAACTTGAACTAGAACGAGTGAAGAGTGATGAATTAGGGTCTTGATAGATGAGTATAATAGAATAGAGAGAGATGAGATATAAAATGACTAAAATGCCTTCATATGAGGAGAATGTTGGGACCAAAATCAGTAAACCACAAAAGAGGGCAAACCACAAGACAAAGAAATAGAGATCGGAATGGAGTTAGCCAAAAAAAATGAATCATGATTGATTTTAAAACCACAAGACCATCTATGTAACTTATACGATAAAAATCAAGATTATTATTAAAAAAAACGATTAACTATCTAAAATTCTCAATAACTATTAAAGTGCACTAACTTTATTCTTTTGTCCCGTTGAAATTTGTTAAATTAAGATTTTTTTTAGAACGCTGTTAAATTTAGATGACATTGCTTTAAGACTTTAGGAATTAGGTGTGTCCACAAAATCCTCCTATTGGAGCAGAAATGATGATTCTTTGATTCTAACTTTTGTTGGCAAGTAGTCAAATTGTACCTATATAATATATATTAATATATATATATATGCTCAAAAAACATTTATAAATTATGCGAATAAAATGCTTGCAATTTGTAAATTAGTATGTGTGCCATCAGTAAATATAGAAAATTATACAAACACAAGACGTTTTAAAAAAATTAGGAGATGAACAGTAACGATGATTTTGAAACATAAGTCTTATATTTAAATCAAAATAAGATAACTAATTAAATGCATTTTTGATAATTATTAATTAACTAAACTTTTATATTTTTTAAGTAATTAATGTTAATTAAAAATTAAAAATTAAAAATTAAAAATTAAAAAAGTTCTGGTCCTTGTAAATGGAACGCAACAGCATCTGAATTACGCAGAACACTCTGCCGGATTCTCTCCCTTTTCTTCCCAACACAAATCTTGATTTCCCTTCGCAACTTCCTTGCTGATTATCGCCTCAGGTAAAATTTCTACTCTTCTTCTTCATCTTCAAATCTATGACACTCTTTAAGATTTCCTGAACTGAGTATTAGTTATTAATTAAAATTCATTTTGATGTTTGATTAATATTAGCTCTTGAGTTGTATTACTTGCGTTCTGTAATGCATGTATCTTATAGAATCCATGGATTTATGTTCTGTAAAACTTTGCTAATGATACACATTGATTCCATTTTGAGTGTGTTCTTCCTTGATGCTTACAAATTACAATCGTGAGGTGGGAAGATCGCCTATTGAATTTAGACCAGTTGAATTTCACTAAAAATGTTTAGGATTTGGGATTTTTATACGCCTTTACTGTGTGGGAATTTGATTATATGAACATACGCTACTCAAAATTTGCGTAAATCTTGCCATTTATGGGATATGACTATGAAGTTTTAACTTAAAGTAATTGATTAATCATTCAAGTTTGCTGCTGAATTTGTGTTCTATAACTAAACCCTAAGCCTCGCAGATTGATATGTTCAAAACGGTATGCAAATTCAGTTTGGGATCTCCATTTTTCTTGATGTTCATGAAATGCATCCCAGTTCCTATAATTATGTGATTTTTGTTACAATAATCACAATTTTGGACCCAAGATGTTTGTTTTATTGCTTTGTTTTGAGAAAAGATAACATGAATGGTTTCATTCATTTGAGATTATGATAAACTAAAGAAGGTTATTGAGCGAGGAAGAAAACAGTAAACTTGATTTTATAAGATGACAATTAGACCTATCATTGATATACGGGACAAAATGTTTTTCCATGAAAGGTTTGAAAACCTTGAAAATTATCCCACCCAATTTTAAATTCTTGTGTTATTGCCAGGTTTTTCTGTAAATACGTGCAAAATGTCCGAAACAAATGAGGGTTCTAAAGACCTTAATCTTGTGGATAATGATCCAAAAGTTGGAGTAAACAATGACTCATCTTCAGAAGAAATCCCAAAGGATTTAGAAAAAGCAGAGGACAATCCCATGCCCACACCAGCCCAAGAGGTAGTTCCTTAATTTGGTAGATATTATCCTAATTTACTTATTTGCCCTTCATCACTATTACAAGGGATTTGTGATACTAGTTCGGATCCTCAAGATCTTTGTATTCTGTCATAAGTTTAAGGCTATTTAAGGCATTTAGTTAAAAGTCTTAAATCACGTGCTTATTTTAAAATTGTAATTATGGTTGGATAGTCTTTACTCTATCTTTATATGATCTTTAAACAGGAAGCAGTAATCAAGAAAAAATATGGAGGATTACTACCAAGAAAAGCCCCTTTAATCTCAAAGGTAATTCAATTTCCATTCTTATTTTTTTTTCTCTAATTATGGAAGAAGAATTACTAACAACTAATTTGTTCCCCAATCATACAGGATCATGATCGCGCTTTCTTTGATTCTGCAGATTGGGCACTAGGAAAGGTACTTAAAATGATTTTTTTTTTTTTAACTCTTGATCTATTTTAATAAAGTTTTGATGCTTCATGTTATTGTTGTCTTTTTTACAACAGGGGTCACAAAAGAGCAAAGGACCTTTAGAGGCACTACGCCCAAAATTGCAGGTGTATATATATATATATATATATATATATATATATATATATATATATATATATATATATATATATATTGCATTATGTTATGACTCACTTCTGTTTGACTTGATGTTTTCTGTCAGCCTACGCCACATCAGCAAGTTCGTTCAAGACGATCATCCTACGCCCCTGCAGATGAAGGAGAAGGTGTGTTTTACAATTTTTTTTTCATTACTAAATATTTGATAATTGTAATGAGTGTTAATTGAGAGGGACATTTTTGTCTTTATAAAGTCTATAAAACCTTTCTCTCTCTTCTGGTCACAGCAGATGATGGTAGCTTAAATCTAACTGCTTCAGAGGATCAAGTGCAAGAATTGGAATTAAGTATCGATGACAAATCTCATTCTGAAGATCAAAACCATATGATCTGAATTTTTTTGCAGTTTTGAAGGACCAAAAACCATCACTGGTATTAATAACATTTGCATGAATTTTGCAGCTATTGTTTCATAACCAAGAAACACATACATGTCTCATGATATTATACCCTCTGTTGTATGATGGGAAAAATAAACTTATGTTACTTGTTTACTTGTATTATTCCCTCTATTGATGTTGTATCAGTGTTATCTTTTTGATGTTATGCAACAAAATGGATCAATTTTTGGTTCAAGTTGGTCTTTGCATTGATTCCCACTCATTTAAACATGATATTTGTTCATCATCCAATGATCATGTGGTCATAGCCTCGGGCTCATTATGGGGGTTGTTTTCACTTTTCATCCAGAAGTATCAAAAAGTATAAGTGTATCATCTTAATAAATTGTTCGGAAGATTTGATTTTGGTTAATAAAGAATTCAACTATTTTGTACAATTGAAAAAGATTTTAGATGGTATACTGATACTTGGATCATTATATAGAGCCATGTACAAAAGTACTTAATAACTGACGTTAAGGAGGAAAAGAAAGTATGATAAGCTTGTTTTGTACAATCTAGAAAGAGCAACTTATTAGATGTTTGTTGTGTCAAAAAATTAAGATAAGGATAGGATTGTTAAGGATGGTATGAAAGTAAAAGAAATATGTGTATGGGAGATGTTGCAAAATGTCACCACCATCCACCTCCCACCAACACTATCCATCTCCAACAACAAACACCACCTTCTATCACCACCACAATCACCAATTTCCACCATTTACCACCACCTCCGCCAAGAAACTAATATAAAATCCTTGAACATGTAAAAATGGTGTTACCTTTTTTTTTTTTATTTGAGTTGTGTTGGCCAAAAAATTGATGATTTGTGAAAATGATAAAATATATACAAAAGTTAGTTTAATAGTAAATTGTGAATATAAATATTGGTTGGTTTAAAAATATTTCTTAAACAATCAATTAGAGTTTAATGATGTTTTTTGAACATGTAAACCAATTAGACCGACCTGCAATAATCGATCAAAATGATATTACTGAACAACAAACGAGAGTTTAGTGATAAAATATGAGAAATTAAATATTTAATTTCTCATAAATTATATATAAAAAATAAGAAAGTGATTTGTTTTACATATCAACTTCAAAAAAAATGAAATTCAATAGAAAAATATTACATCTAACATTCGAAATATAGATGCCATTTCATCTCTAATCTATGATTCTAATTGCATCAATAAAATTTGATACTTGTTTTTCAGGTTTTCAAAATATATGTTTTCTAAACTTCAAGCTATCAAATGTCACTTTATGTTTCATTTAACTACAATTTAAGCTTTAAATAAATGGATAATGACTTAAAAGGGTAATTTATTTTTCGATTTGTACACATTTGGTCACTGAGTTTTTTTTTTCGTCCACATTTACCCTTTCAACTTGTTAAATTGTACACATTCGGTCATTATGACCAGTTACTCTTGGTTAGCCGGAAAAAATGACTTAATAGGGTAATATATTTCTCATTTTGTACACATTTAGTCCTTAATATTTTTGTACACATTTATTCCTTAATATTTTTTTGTCTCAAAGTAATATAAGAAACGCGGAACCCTCAATACTACTGATGAGTGTGTACAGTCCTGCCTTCGCCTTCCCACGATCAACGATAGAACCTGAAAACATAAACAACTGGGTAAACACAAAGCTTAGTGAGTTTCCCCCAAAATACCCCATACAACAAACGTATTATCATGCATAACGGCCCCACACTCATCAGATTGGAATACCTTGGCCCAATCAGTCATCGGGCTGGGATGCCAACATGCAACAGGTCCAGTCAGTCATCGGACTGGAATACCCAGGGTTTGTTGGCTTGCCGCCTCAACCACTCGCTCTTCTCGAGCCTCCGTGCCTACGACTTACAGTCGGTCCGCACCAAGTATATTGGCCTACAACACATAGCAGGACCACCTCAACCTATCCCACCACTATATGGTTATCCTACGTATGATGTCGTGAGAAAAACCTAAAGAAATCATTCAAAAGTACTCAATGAGTACAAAAACAAAAATGACTTATTTTGCAAAAAAAAAAAAATATTAAAGACTAAATGTGTACAAAAATATTAAGGACTAAATGTGTACAGTTTAACAAGTTGAACGGGTAAATGTGGACGAAAAAAAAACCCAATGACCAAATGTGTACAAATCGAAAAATATATTACCCTTTTAAGTCATTATCCCTTAAATAAATGCAAAGAAAAGAAATTCTTTAAAGACAAAATTGCAAGTTTGGTCCCTATGGTATGTCAAAAATTGGATGTTTGGTCCAAAAAGTTTTGGGGTTGCACCGGTAGTCCAAAAGGTTTGATTTGTTGTGGAATTGGTCCAAAGGCTTAACATCCGTTTGTGCCCTCCGTTTGTGTGAGGGTATTTATGTCAATTCACACCCCTTCTTTTAATATCTTCTTAATTAAACCCCCTAACGTCTACTTCCCTTATTAATAGATCCAACGTGTGTTCCCCCTTTTCCCTAAATCGATATCTCCTCCTGCTAAAATCAAAATCGTCTCTCCTACACTCAAAATCAACAATGGTGAGATGTTTCTGTGGTCAAATGGCAATAGTGCGAACGGCTTGGACCGATAAGAACCCTGGGCGACGTTTTTGGGGATGCCCTGAAGAGGTTAGTATTCATGTGGTTGGTTATGAAGATTTTTCACCGATCACTCAATTTCTTCTTATATTTTGCTAGGATTCGACATGTGGGTTTGTGGGATGGATCCATCTCATGAACTGAAAACTTGTCTATATCCACCATGTCAACATATTTCACACTTCCGTCAATGTACTGAACATCAGGAAACTTGGTGAACTCACCTCCATGGTATAGCTTGATGGTAAATAATGTTGGGTGGTCATCTTCAAACCAACAACAAAAATAAGTTCAGAAGCATGATTTCACATACAAAAGATGTAATGTACAGAGAAATTACAAAATCCTTACCATAAGCCACCTTTGCGTTGAAAGGTTTGTCTAAGAGCCTTATATTCCACATTGGTATGTTCATACACTGAAATAACAGCGATCACAAAAAAAAAAAACTTCACTTTGAGATTAGGGTTTTTGGGTAACGAACGAAGACGAAAGTGATATAATAGTCAATCGACGAACTGCACAGGGGATTTGGCGGTAGGTGTCAATTAATTAGGAGGATGAGGTTTAATTTAAGAAGATATTAAAAGAAGGGGTGTGAATTGACAGAAATACCCTCACACAAACGGAGGTCACAAACGGCTGTTAAGCCTTTGGACCAATTCCACAACAAATCAAACCTTTTGGACCACCGGTGCAACCCCAAAATTTTTTGGACCAAACATCCAAATTTTGACATACCACAAGGACCAAACTTGCAATTTTGTCTTCTTTAAACATAAAAATAATATATTAGTTTAAAGCTGGAGAAATTATTTTGTTATTTATCAAATTTACATTATATTATTTAAATCCAGGAGTAGCAAGATTCAAGAATAAGGTTTAGCCATGTTTCTTGGAATCTCTTCTTCGTTCCTCCCTTCTCCTCTCATCCAAACTTCACACACGTCCACGCCCTTCCATCATCTCAACATCAAATTGAATTTGAATCTTTCGCGCCGTAACTCTAATCTTTCGCGCCGTAACTCTACCCCCAAATCGACCCAAAACATTACGAATTCGCCATCGACATCATCATGTAGCAGTAGCAGTAGCAGCAGCAGGAACAAGATTTGCTTATGTGGGAGAAGGCCATTTTTAGCAACAATCTCCACAGCTCTCATCCCAATTCGCGATTCCAATGGCTTCGATTCGCTTTCTGATGATCCCATGGTACCTAACTTTGATTTTAATGTTCGCCCGAAACGTCGATGAAGCAATTGTTTTATTTAACGAGTTTCAAGTGGGTTATCGAACATGTTTGCAAAAATTCAAAATGTTCATATTAATTTTTGAAGTTGATTTTGAGTTAATCGGCCTTGCAAATGTCAAAATATGAAGTATCTCATAAGAACTACCTTAATTATCCTGAATTTTGCTACTACCATAGTGTCAATTGTTTGGGAATTTGAGGGGCAAACCAACATCGAAGATATACTAATTACTGGTTCAATTTTCACTTTAAAAAACATCAATTTAAAGGGATTCAATGTTCTATGAAGGCTGTGCTGAACAGGGTTCACCCTCCAAGACCAGATTGGTACGAGGAATTTTACGCTACAGCCATGGATACAACAATGAAATCTTACGAGACTGAGGTTCGTATTCAACTAACAAAAATGTAATAGAAAATTCCCTTCCCTTTTACTCCTATTGTGTAAACGACATGTTATTTGACAAGATTGCAGGTTATAAGTCGCAACTTTTTGCAAATCTAACAGGGAAGGCTGCAAATATATTGGAAATAGGCATAGGAACGGGTCCTAATCTCAAATACTATGCTAGTGCGACTTCTGATGCAAATGTAATCGGTGTAGATCCGAATAAAAAGATGGAAAAATACGCTCAAGCTGCAGCAGAAGCTTCTGGTTTGCCTCAAAAGAATTTCAAGTTTATTCATGCCGTATGATCTTCACTTTCTTAATGATACACCAAGTTTAACTAGATCGATTTAACATTTATAAAAACTTGTTAACACCCACAAGTTTATGCAGGTTGCAGAAGCATTACCTGTAAGTGATGCTTCCATGGATGCAGTGGTGGGCACTCTGGTGCTATGTTCTGTTAAAGATGTTAACAAGACTCTTCAGGGTATATGATCAATTGATCATCTTGTCATGTTATGATTCTCTCTTTTTGTTTTTTTCTAAGGGCGTGATTTATATTTATAGTTGATGTACTTAGCTTGGGATTTGAAAAACTATTTTAGTTTCAAAAATCACATTAAAGAAGACATCGAACTTAGAAAAATGGAAAATTTTGTTATAATTTTGCAATATAATGATATTTCTAAATGAGTGGAGTACTAATGAGTTGTTTTTCTTTAATCGAAATCTGATTTTAAAGAAAAGTAAAGTGTCATATTTTGTATTTTGTGCAGAGATCAAAAGGGTTCTTAAACCAGGTGGGGTTTACATATTTGTGGAGCATGTAGCTGCCAAAGGTACTCCACTGAATAAAATGTTAGGCCTTAATGTAGTTAGACACCAACATATTGTTGAAATGTAAGGGTAAAATGGTCATTTGGCTTCATTCAGATGGTCTATTCTATAAAAAGTAGCATGATATATTTTTGGTTTCATTTTTTTTAAGCAGATGGTTCGTTTCTCAAAGTTATGCAGAGTTTTTTAGATCCATTGCAGCAGGTGGTTGCAGATGGATGTCATCTTACTAGACAAACAGGAGAGACTATTTCTAAAGCTGGCTTCTCAAATGTTGACATGAAAACAGCTTTTCTTTCTTCTGCATCATTAATAAACCCTCATGCATATGGAATTGCTTGCAAGTAATTAAGTAATATGTATGCACATATGTACCATTTATCTATGTTCTATTGATTAAAGTCATCGTGTTTATGTGATGGTGAGTTTGATAATTGATAGAAGAAGAAATGAAGATAAGATTTTTGCAAAGAAAGAACATGTATAAGAACAAAGTATAATAATTGACTCTAATTATTACTCGAAAGTGTAATAGTTGATTCTAATTATTACTCAAATAGTTAGTTATTGGTTTATTTATATTTTTAATGGTTGGAGTGTTCTTGGACAAAATTCGAATGAATTAGTGGAAGTGATGTGGTCCTCGATATCACATACAAATACAGTCATATGGACTAAAAGCTTTTATATGTTGGAAATAACCAATGAATAAGTAGAGGTATATTAATGGTTTAGTTTCAAATAAATAGTTATTTTTCTAGAAACAAAAAAGGTGAAAATTGCTATAATAATTGATCAGAGTGTGATCATGATGAATGAAACAAGCAAATGGATGATAAATTCTCAACTATTATATCAAATATATAAGTGATTTTTTTTTACCGATTTGATTGTATATAAGATATTTTATAGGGATAATGAAATAAATGGTAACATATTTTTCGTTTTGTACACGTTTAATCATAAAAAAAAATTATTGTCCATATTTACCCATTAAACTTGTTTTTTTTGTCTATATTTTACTCTTATGACCTGTTGGTGTGAGTTTAGCCGGTTTTTGGTGTGAGTTGCAACTCCGGCGAGACTCCGATCATCTTCTCCGGTGAGTCTTCGGTCACACTGATTTTTCCGGAGAGTCTCCCTAAAACATAACACCTCCCACTAGTGGTAGACACCACCCATGCCACCACCAGTGCACCATTTCGTTGTACATCCACCTCCTTCAGCCTCCTGAGTTCCTCACCTCCACCGCCCCCTTTTTCGTCTACCACCACACTAGCCACTATCATTACCATTAAATCCGATGACTTCTCCGCTACCAAGTAACTTTCGACGTGTTTTCCGTCACTGCCACCAAGCCCACTCACAATAACAACCACCACCGCCTTCATCGCCTCGTTTACAGCAGCCACCACCGCCATCACAATCCGCATCCATTATCTCTTTCTCTCTCAACCACTACCGTCGACAATCAACACCACAACTGTCATCAACAACCACTGCCATTGACCACCACCAACAATGTCATCGACCACCACCACCACCATCCTAACCTCAAATCAAAACCAAATCCTACAAAAAAAAAAACATTGAAACTAAAGTTAAATTCTAACCTTAAATCAAAACCAATACAATATAAAAACCATCAATGCGATATCAAAACCTTAACACATAATGGAATAAGTGAGAAGGCGAGTTCGTCTAGTTTCATCCTCTTTCATCGGGCATCAAAACCTTAAACCATCACTGACAACCACCATCATCACTTCCATCTACCAAAAAAACCTATCAAACCTGATGGAGCCATTTGCTTTCATTCTCTTTCACCAAACATAAATCATTGGTTTGAGAATTAAAGAAGGAAGAATGTGGGTTTGAGATCCACATATGGCTCGATAGCGGTGGTGGTGCTAGAACTTTTTACTAAAAAACGAGAGTAGGAACCGCAAATGGCTATGATCCACGTTGTAGGTGATTAGGAACCACAAATAGTTCTAATTTTCGTCGGAGAATGAAACAGCGGGCGGGGGTGATCGTGGGTGGCCAAAGACTTTCGTCAGAGAAGACGGTGGTTGGAAAAAGATAGTGACAGAGCACGATGTCGTAGAACGATAGTTGTGGCCAATTACAAGATAATGATGACAACTTGAAAAAGAACTAGGATGTCCAATTGTTTTCTTGAGTGACGAGAATTTTGTGGGGTTTTGAACTATGTTGACATGACAAACAACGTCAGCCAACAAGACTCGTTAGCTTGTCAAAGTAAGGATAAACATGTAAACGAATTACGAACTTAAGTTTTTTTTTTGTTCATTTTTCAAGATAACATATAAAACCCATAACATGAAACATAGGTAAAATTAGAAAAAAAAAAAACACTTAAAAACTTCGCACCAAAGTGACGTTAGAGTAGAATCTATCTTTATTTTGAAAAACTTAAGGATTTTAATGTCAATTTTCATATATATATATATATATATATATATATATATATATATATATACACACACTAGTAGCGTACCCGCGCAATGCGGCGCCGACGATTTGTTTCATTCCAACGATTAGTTTCCGAACGAAAGTTAGTGTCATTTCAGCGGTCGTCAAATCGTTTCATTTCGATTTGTTTCATTCTGGTGATATGTTTCTTTCGGCGATCTGTTGTCTTTAATCGGCCAACGGCCAACAAATAGTAATTTATGTCTATTACTCTTTATTTGGCAGTGGACGGCGATTGGTTTCATTTAACAAATAATATTTTCTTTCCATATGCTGTTAAACTTTGTAGTTTAGCCTAAAAACAAAAAATGTTGTATTATTTTTAGTTTAATATAATATTATGTTAATTTGGTTACAAATAATAATATGTTGTTATTATAGGTTAAATATGAAAGTATATTGCTATCATAGTTTGTGCGGTGTAACATTAATATTAACTCATTATAAGTATTTATGATTTATATATTACAATTATATTATGGAAGATGTCGATGGTGTGGGTACTGATGTTGTGGTATAAGTATTATAACTTGATTGATTTTTCAAAATATGTTATCGTAATAATATTAAATAAAAAATGTATTGTAGTAATAATAAATATATAAAAATATCTGATTATGGAAAAGTATAGCTTATATTTTTAGATTTTTTCTTATCTTATAACAGTTAAAGTCCATAATTATCGGTAAATATCTTCCCGTGAAATCGATGATGATGAATAGTTTTTTTATGATCATCTTTTTTTAGAAAAATGTTATATTCCAAAAACATACTATGGACACTATGTTTTTTCATAAGTATGGATAATATTTAAAATTGTATCGAAGATCACAATAAATTAATGGATGTCAATAAACAAGATAAATCATTTGTTATTTTTATGAAATGTATTTGATTAATCTTTAAGTTTTGACCATTTTTTAACATGACAAGCAAAGGGTAATATAAAACTTCATTATTAGTTTATAATAATAATAAAATAAAAAAAGAAGTAAACCACAATCCTAATCATAACATAAATTCTAAATAGACCATTTGGTTTACATAATTGGATTCAAAACGAGTTCAACGCATTAGTATTTTTTTAAGATATCTAATATTCAAACATCTTTTTAATATAAATTCATCATAATCATGTTTTATTATTATTAACAGTAATTTACGTAAAAACTATTATAGTTTGTTTTTTAAGCCACAAATCTTTCATCTAATTTAACTGATAAGTTGTTTGTCTATAAAATAAACTTTGTTGTATATGTTTCTCGTAAATGAAATGCTAGAATTCCTAATAACCTTATGAAGAATTTCAAATCATAATAGGCTTAGTTTTAAATACTAAATTCCATGTGGTTACCAACACCTTACTAAAACTTTAATCCAAAAATTAACTATTCTAAATATCAGAATTTAGAATTTGTGTCTTAAATAACTTTAGTTACCTAGTTTTTAAATATCAGTGCCCATATATTTTGTGTGGTTAATAACACACTTACAAAAGATACACTCTTATGAACAATACATACATATCAAAAGTACTTACATTAAGTTTTTATAGAACTTGGGTCATTTAACTTAGGTAATTGCATGTTGCCTATCAAAATTCAATTTCAAGCAATACACACGCATAAATGGGTCACTGATAGGCACGACAATGTATAATTAGGAAGCTAATTTTTATAGAATTGTTGATCTTTCTGTGGATGTATAGTTGAAAGGGAAAAACAAAGACAAGATACATATGTGAAGCAAAATAATATATGGGAAATATGTACACTAAGACTCAGAGCATGTTCATCGAAATATTAGAAGACTTGTCGATCAGGTTACAACAACCCCATTTAATTTAACATAGAAACCATTAAAAGCTAAAAAAAAATAAAAACAAAACCCAAGAAACTCCAACTCAACTGGACCTACCGGGACCAAAGGGCATAAAAAAGAGAATTCACATCTAAGTTAGAGCAGCAAAAGACAACATCTTTCCTTGTGGCAACATCATCATCTTCCAAATAAACTACAACCGATGAAACAAACAAAAGCAGGTAAGTATTGAGGTTTCTCCTACACAAACCATCCTCCAAAAGTTCTTGTCCTTGTCAAACTCCAGCACAATCCTGCACAACCCATACTTGACAATTTTACCCGTACACAAACCTTAGCTCATTCTTTGGTGCACCTGATACAACAAGAATTTCAAACTTCTGTTTCTTTACAAAATGATGCATATAACTGCATAGAAGGAAAGATGTTGAACATGGGCTTCGAAAAATGCAGGAAATGACCTATGGCCTAGGAGAAGATAGATAATCATGAGAGGATATTGGGGATGGATCTGGGGTCAAAAAATTTAGATATAAAAATTGGAAGGATAGCAAACTTAGATTGAATAAAAACATATACATATGAGATATTGCTTGCCAAAATTAGCACCCATTTCGAGAACTCTTCACCTGATGTTATCTCCAGTAGAGCATGGCCACTGTGTACCAGATAGTCCTGTGCTAGAAATCAAAGATGACATCAGATAAAAGCAACCATAAAAACAAATGCATATTAAGTCAAATCCAGATCCAGTGTCAAAAACTTGGTTAGGCTTTGTTATATTTGCTTCACATGGGTTTCAAGCCATAGATGCCCTACAAGAACAGGGAAGAAAATTGAGTTAGTTTGATAAATGTGTAAAGGGAAATCTCCAGAAAAAGTCCTAAAATTTTACCCTAATTTACGAAAAAGTCCCAAACTAAAATTTGTTTATGAAAAAGCATGAATTACCGGTAAAAATGGCGATTTGACCCCTTTTTTCCGGTTTACCGGTTTTATTACTTACATGTTTCACTAAAGTCCCATTATTTTACCCTAATTTGCGAATAAGTCCCAAAATAAAATTTACTGATGATTTGGCCCTTTTCTTCATGTAACATACATTTTATCGGTTTCATTGCTGACTTAGACACCTAGTCATTAAATTAGCTGATAAGATTAATACGACGGGTTATATAATGCCCACATTTACTATAAAATTTGATACCCATCTCATCGGCTCATTTATGACTATGTATCAACGTCAGCAATGAAACCAATAAAATGTGTGTTGCCAAGAAAAAAGGGCAGAAAATGAGTCGATGTCTGATGAGATGGATATATTGGGTTACATAAGATTAGATAGACAATTTGATATTTCTTATAAACGTAAAAAATAACGCAATTGTTGTTAGTTTATGTAATTATTGTAGTCTTCGTTGGATGCATTTTATGTTCCACAAAGATATACAATATATCAGGATATCAAGTTTTATGCTAAACATAACATTATATAACTCAACATATCCATCTCATCATATCATTTAATGACTAGGCGTCCGGGTCAGCAATGAAACCGGTAAAATGTATGTTACAAAGAGAAAAGGGTCAAATCATCAGTAAATTTTATTTTAGGACTTATTCGCAAATTAGGGTAAAATAATGGGACTTTAGTGAAACAGGTAAGTAATAAAACCGGTAAACCGGAAAAAAGTGGTCAAATCGCCATTTTTACCGGTAATTCATGCTTTTTCGTAAACAAAATTTAGTTTGGGACTTTTTCGTAAATTAGGGTAAAATTTTAGGACTTTTCTGGAGATTTCCCATGTGTAAATGGAGATTTGCAGGTAGACTCTTAGAGAAAAAATCTAGATAAAAATAAAATCCATAATTTCTTTTAAACTACTCTCCTCCTTTCTCGATGGTAGACTCTCAACGATTAAAAAAAACAACCAGATCAGCGTGAAAATTTGTATTCATATTCAGGGAGAAGGAAGTGATGGCTATAAAAAGTGAACGGACGTCGTGGTTGGCTGATCGTTGCAGACAATAGAAGTCGATCAATTTCAGGTTAAGATTTAAACCGAACTCTAAAACCCCAGAATCTGAATTGGTTAAATGAACAACATTGGGTTTGTATCAAGCCCTAAAAATAGATAAAAAAATCTCTTGTTAGTAACCCTAAACCAACAGATCTTGAAACACTCAATAGATTTACTAAGAATTTGGATTTCGATAAGAAAAACATAATAAAAACACATTGACGCTTGAGAATCTTCATCTGGCTTCATCTTTTAGGTCACTTATTTCAGCATACTCCCTCAAAAAGTTCTTCCATGAACCACGGTGTTCACATCTTCACTGCCTTAGCCATCCGAACTGATCCAGCCGATGTAAAAGTCCTAAATTTCACACTCAAAATTAACAATCAAATTAATAAAATCATACGTTGATATGCATATGACTTCAAAAAGACAACCAAATAACCGGATATGGGGGGCGACAGTGTCAAGAGTTTTTAGAGATAAGATCAACAACTGAAAGATCAATGGAAAATAAGACCAGAAAACCAAAAAAAATACACAAGTTTCTCACCAGTTCAAAGTGGTGAGAAGTCAAGCTGCATGAAATCTACCGTATAACTTTGAATAGCATCATCGAGGCTCTTATGTCGATATAGAAATACCAGATGATTGGGGTGTATAAAGATAATCATGGTCAAAAGGGGAAGATTCGGAACTTGAAAAACAACTGTGTGGTGGTGCCTAGTGATTGACACCACGGTGACTTGAGTTTGTATGTGGATCTAGCAACAACGACGATGAGAGATTGATGGTGAGGCCATGATTTCTAATGGAGGGAGGTGATGAGGAAGAATAATGAGAGAAAGTAAGGGAAGAATCAGTGTTTTTTTAGGGTTTATTTTGACTGACTTTTGAAATTTGAAAAGTCCGCCCAAGTTTTTTTTAATCGGCCGCCCAAATTTTTTTCTAAGGTTTCTCCGATTGTTTCCAGTTTTTCCTTAACATGTTCTAATTCATATGCTTCTCAAACCATTCATTAACCATTTCTCTATTCTGACTGGTTGAAACCATTTCACTTGAATTGTCAAAACTAAAATCCACACCTCTCATTTTAGAATCAACGGTCTATATCAGCTTTCCTTGTTTTTTAAGATAACATGCTTAATTTTTTGTACCTTAGGCTTTAATATTTGTACTTAAGACATTGATTATGTATGCTTTATAAGATGGTATATATATATATATATATATATATATATATATATATATATATATATATATATATATATATATATATATATATATATCATTGTGGCCTATATTTTTGGTTTAGCGGCTTATATTTTTTTAATGTACATAAGAAAGTTATATATGCTATTTTATAAAGTATATATAATGATACGTAGGTATATAAGAAATGACATATGTTCTATTGGAGTTTAATAAATAAATAATTTTTATTGACCAAAATAAAATATATCGATTAAAAAAAGAAATTATATGACTTTTTTTTATGTATATTTTCTGATATAAAAAAATGAAAATTTTAACAATTATATATGTAACTGTAGTGAAATTACAAGCAGACGATCCAAAAGGTAATTTGAAAGTTGAAGAAAGAAGGAGCGCATGAAGCAAAAATGGGGGGCAAGTAAAACAATGCCGCACACTCCGTTTTATTAGGGTTTTTCTCCGTCGACAGCGCCACCAAAATTCATCATCCCCATCGCTTCGCTCGAAACCCCGTAATCATAGCAGTAAGTACACCCACGAGCTCTCTCTAACACTCTTTCTTGTCTCTTTGTGTTTATGCTGTTTCCCCTTTTTGCTTACCGATAAAGCTTCTTAGGGTTTTCTACACTGTTTATTTGGCATCCTGAATCATTTTCATTGTTAATAGATGTACACACACAGTATCATCCTTTTTTATAACTTCCCTGACCCTTTTCTATGAATTTTGACCCTAGTATGTCCCTTCTAACGAATGTTTACTTTCGATTGAGTCGCAAAACATCATAAAGTCACTAAATTGAAGTTATTAAAAGGGAAACAACCATGCGATACTCATTTTGCTAAATTTCATGGTCAAAGTGTCGTCTCCGAAAGTCCGAATTGAAATGAATCCGATTTGTTCTAATTAATGTGATATCTGTAATCGTCGCGAGGTTTATTTTTCTCATGGACACGCCATAATCCATATACTAGTTTTGAATTAGTGCTCTTCAGTTCCTAATCTCAAAAGTCAAATATGATTCTTTGGTTTGACTTTCAGATAATTGACTAATGAAAGACTTTCCTTATTCCTTAATCCTTAAGTTCTTTGTTTGTTTTGACTTGAATTATTATATATTCTTTTTCATTTGTACAGATGGTTGATGTTTGATATATGAGTTGACATTATTAAAGATTGAAGAAAGCATAAAAAAGAATAATTTAGGCGTGTGACAAAAGATAGCTAAAACGGGGTCTCTTTGTTGTGTGGCTGCTAGGCCACATGGGTCAAATGCAGTTAGCCAGGACTGGTCCATGGGCCCACACGAACCCTACTGGCGAACCAACACCAGCTTCTCTCCTCCACCACCAAGATGGGATTTCCGATTCCATTCCGAAGTTGAATCATTCGATTCCCAAGAAGGAAACCGTTTATACGGTTCTTCTACATCTTCAAACAGTAGAGAAAGTAGAAACTGGTTGAGAACAAATTACTTACCAAATCATCGGCATTCTAATTCCGATGGAATTGGGGCTTTTTTTAGTACCCCATCTGACTTATCTCCAGCTCAGCAATGGACTCCTCCAGCTATACAAGAAATCAACCTCCATGAAAGAGTTTTGGTGCCATTATCATTTTCTCCAACTTCTGAGGTATTATTATATTTACATTCAGATACCCTCAACTTAGGACTTGTTGTCACTTTACACCCAACTAAAAAAGTTAAACTTTTTTCAGGGACTATCTGCTCCCCATGAAAACAGAGCTTCAATTTCTTCCAATTCAGACAGTAGTGATTTCACTGGTCGGGGTTGTTTCATGTCCAAACCGGTCCATCCAGTCAACTCCGGAATTCATGATTCCGATGACAGACACCGTTCCAGTTGCGAGTTTGAGTTTTCAGATGTTTCAGAACCAATTGAATCCGATTCTCTGGACAGATTAAGTGATAGTTTTGATAAATGTGGCTTCTGTGAGAGGTTTCTTTCACAGAGATCACCGTGGAGTTCCCGCCAGATTATCAGAAGCGGAGATTTTCCGGTGACCGGAGTTCTCTCCTGCCGCCATGTCTACCATGTAGAATGTTTGGACCAAACAACACCAAAAACACACAAAGGTGATCCTCCTTGTCCCATTTGTTCTAAATCTGAATCTAAAAAAGATTCTCCTGATCAACGGGTTTTGTCAAAATTGAAAAACGGGGTCCCATGTAATGCTATGTTGTTGATTAACCAAAATCGGATAAAAAAGGGGGTGTTGATGAAGGGCAGCTCCGGCAAGGAGTTCGCCGGAAAACTTAAGGGTTTTTCACAATGGGGTGGTGGTGGTGGTGGTGGTGATGGGGTTGGATCATCAAAGTCAGCATCAAGTTCAAGAAAGAAGCTATGAAGTGGTAATGGTAATTTGTGTGTATATAACTACAAGCACAAAGGTTGGTGGTTTTGATTTTTAACTTGTAGCAAGAGACCCAAATTGTTCATCTTGGGTTAAAATTTTCCTTCTTTTGTAATGGTATGTAAAATATGATATCTAATTTGCTGATTTTTGGTAGTCAAGATCACATAGGTTGTGTTGTATGTGATAGGAGTAAAATTGATTTGGTATTGATCATACTTGTATCTACATTTGCTTGTGCTTAATGTGGATACGGAAATATATGTTTTGATTGTGACTTTACTTTTACAAACCAGTCGAACAACCCCAAACTATAAGGGTTACTAAGAAAAGAAAGAAAAAGAACACACATGGTCTTGACTATTGGGTTATGATGAATGAGAGGGAATATACTACATGTTGGTAGTTATGCTGTATGGATTTTTGGACGATAAAAAGGCATATGAGAGGAAGATGGAAGTTGTGAAAATAAGGATGTTATGGTAGACATGTGACAGAAAGATGTTAGATATGATACAAAATGTAAAAAATATAAATAAGTTAGGGTGATGTGATGTTATTGGACATGTTAGGCAACGGGACATTCTATTTGTACCTTTCCAACGGGACATACAGATTATCATACAAAATGTAAATTACACACAAATCATTTAAAAATCCAAATAAAAATTGTCATACAAAATGTAGATTAAACATAAATAATTTAATATCTAAATAAAAAAATAATGAAATGTAAAATAACATAATAATTTAATGTAAAGTAGGTGAAAATAGTTGATTTGCAATATGATCATGCAAAACACGCATATATTGAACGACTTCTGGACCCCATTTTATGTCTTGTATGTTTCTCTATCAATTCCTCCACCTTGGACGTCAGGAGTAACCATAGTGTTCTCCTCAAAATTTGTAAACAAGTCATCTTGTATATTGTATTTCCTTATAAAATTATGGACCGCGACACAAGCAATGACTATGTCTCTTTGCACTGTAAAAGGATAAGGAGTCATTTGTTTTAAGATTGAGAATCTCGCCTTCAATACACCATAAGCATGCTCAATAACATTTCTAAGTTGTGCATGAGCATGATTGAACCTTTCTTCTCTAGTTAAAGGTCTGCTTCTTCGAAAATCGGCTAGCCAATACCTAGTATTGCGGTACGGAGCCAAAAACTTGCGAGTGTTTGTATATGCGGCGTCACAAAGGTAATATTTATCTGCAAATGAGTGTGACATATATTATATAAAGAAGATAGATAATAAAAGTTATATAAAGATTACAAACCTAGTGGAGGAAATGGAAATCCAGAAGTCGGATTGAATGCAACTTCTTTCAAAACTCTTGAATCATGTGCTATACCCTCCCATCCATCCCAAACAAAGGTGAATATCATATCAAAATCACAAATTCCTATTAAATTTTGAAAACATTCACCTTTTCCTCTTCTCCTATAATGAGTTTGTTCATCAACGGGCATAACCGCATGTATAAGAGTTCCATCTAATGCACCTATTGCTCCGGAAAAAATCTCTTTTAACCATCTATGTCGTTCAGAGTTATGTCTTGTTGGATTAGGAGTTGTTGGTACTATAATTTCTTTTGCAAAACACATCATTGCAGTTAGGACCTCATGAAAACATTGATGAATCGTTTGTGTGGAGTGGTGAAATCTTCCCTTAACCGTGCGAAAACGTTCATTATGTCCTATAACATGTAAGAAAATAGCCATCTTTCTCTTCAATGCTTATTGTCCTACTAGCTTGCAACCAATTTTTTTCGGTAAAATGGTTGCATAATAATACAAATGCCTCTTGTGTAAGACACATCATATTGCAACATTGTGTAGGGTCTTCGTGCATCAAATCTTGCGTATACGCATACCCGCTTGAATCCTTATCTCTTATTCTATGAATGTTGTTTAGCCTTCACCGGTTTGACCTCAACCAATTAAACACAAGTAAAAGAAAAGCTACAACTTCACCATCAGAAACCATACTTGACCTGTTATAAACAATTACAGATAACATGTTAAAATAAAAAAAATTCATGCACCAAAAAACTAGTAAATAACAAAAGTCATCTTCAATATCCAATAACATAGCATCCAAAGTAACAAAAGCCATCCAACAAAAAACTAGTAAAAATCATCCAAAGTAAGATCCAAAAATTCATCAAACATAGCATCCAAAAGTCATGCAAATAACAAAAGTCATGCAACAAAAAACTAGTAAAAATCATCAAAGGTAACCAAACTTCCTACCCGCACCCATCACCCACGACTCACAACTAGTAGGCGAAAGTCATAACCAAACTTTCCGAACATCAGCAGTTTCACCAAATAGAAAAAGAGCGGTCTTGTTCCTTTCATCTTCTTCTCCCCATTCCATTTTCTTCAATTTATCCATACATGCATCAACATCCGTATCCATTTCACTTTTTTCAATTCTTTCATTTTTTTTCCACCAACAACATTGCAAGCTTGACAATCTCCCCCTCAACTTCTAGTGCCCTTGCATCTCTTTTTCTTTCCACCAACTCTTTTGTTTCCACCAACTTCCTTATTTTTTGAATGCCCTGAAGATTCTTCACTTGCACCTACGTGTTCTATTGCGGTTTCTATTGGAACATCATCGTCAAAATCATGGGCACTAAACTCTTCTACAAAACGAGGGAGTGTAGAAGATGGCCCTCAAATTTGAAATTCGGTCGAGTTCGACCCTTCAAATAGTTGGGTGCAAAGATCAGGGAATAGCAGGGGTTTAGTTTTCAATGACAACACGAACTTGTTCAACTGTTTACAATTTTTATAAATAATAGTATTTTTTTTATAAAAATAATCATACTAGTATTTGTTATAAAAATATTACCTTCCCCTCTTCCTTCCCTTGTTCATCTGTTAGATTAAATTTATTTTTTATAGGATCATATATATTGTCGGTTTTGTTTTTTAATTTCACCGAAGCAACATACTTTGATTTGTAGTAGTCAAAGTGGTTTCTCATTTGCTTATGATCAACATCTTTACCGTGTTCGTTTATCAATTTTCGCGTATTGTTTTCCATGAACTTGCCTTAAGCCCAGAACCCTCACAGCTATTAGTAGTTAGTTCGTGGATACATGCATCAAGAAAGGTTTTATCCTCAGATTGGTTCCAAACCAACATCCTAAAACATAAATATCTAAACATAAAACAATTTTCTACCAATGAGATCAACATAATCCTAAATAACAATAGCACAATTAAGGTCAACTCTACCAATAAAACCATATACCCTAACAAGATTTCTGATTTCATAGCATTAGAACAAACAAGATTTCTAATTTCATAGCTTATACACAAAAAAATCTGATTTCATAGCTTATACATACATAATTTGAGATTTCATAACATTAGAGCATTAAAAGAAACAAGATATCTGATTCCATAGATTATACAAAAAAAATCTTGATTTCATAACTTATACATACACAATTTGAGATTTCATAACATTAGAGCATTAGAAGAAACAAGATATCTGATTTCATAGATCATACACAAAAATAAATTCTGATTTCATAACTTATACATACACAATTTGAGATTTCATAACATTAGAGCATTAGAAGAAACAAGATATTTGATTTCATAGATTATACACAATTTTTTTTTTCTGATTTCAGAACTTATACATAAATAATTTTAGATTTCATAACATTAGTGCAAAAAGGATTAGGATTTCAGAGCTTATACACAAACATTTTCTGATTTCCTAAACATTTTCATAGCTTTTCGGATTTCAGAGATTATTCTTACCTGTCTTGATAATTCTGGCCGGAGAAGATGGACGGAGCTCGGACAGAAGGAGGGCAGACGTCCGACTGAAAGAAGACGGCATCGAATGAAGGAATACGACGACTATTGGGGTGATTGGGACCTGTCGAAGGGGAGCTATCGAATGGAGGCTGCACGTTTTTCTTTTTGGTCACGAGGAGGGAAGAAGAGATCGGGGTAGGGAGACTCTTTTTTCCCATTCAGACGGGCCTTGCTGGTATCACTTCATGGAATTTATCTCGAGTGATCGCGAGACAGTAATATCATATAAGTCTTCAAACCTAGAGATATGACATGTTGCCTATGAGTTGGTTATACATTGATTGTACGAAAACGCATTGGTAACTCGATGTTAGAAAACGTGCCTTTGTGTATGATTAAACAAGTAGTAGAACAAGCATATGAGTCGAAGTTGATCTGTTCCTTCTTCGATTAGAAGCGATATATGGGCCCCTCGATGATTTTGTGTTGACCCATGTACCGGGCCCGGTCAAAACTAAGTTGATGTGTTCAATTAAGTTCTATGTCAAACAAATCGGAAATCGGGAAACAAACTGCTGGACAATAAGTAAGACATTGTTCCATGTATTTGTCCGGCTGATATCTAGAACAGAGGATTATATGATCACTTATCTTAAATGGCGTATCATCATCATCTCAGTTCCGCGAGACCTTGAAAGAGCTACGATTGCTGATCGGTTCCTGAAGTCATTCTTGCAGTTATAGTTATTAGACTTATCCAAGTGGGAGACTGTTGGATTAGGTGTCTAAGTTCATAACTATTTCTGGAATGTACTTGACCCGATTAGCATGGTCCATTTGGGTTGCATGACATTGCAATACTTGGATAGACCAAATTGAGAGAAAGGACACTTAAGGTTTATTAATATATTATAAGTTCTAATATATTAATAATATTATTTAATTAGTATTGATCAAAGAATTAATTTGGAATTAATTAAGTGATCAAAAAGAGACTAATTAAATATATGGGGTTGATTGTGTAAATCATTTATTCTTGTATAGTGGGCTAATGATCCATGGTTTGTATGGATTGGGTTAAAACCCATAAGGTGTTCCATGGATAATCCATGGAGGTTACAAACCCATGGATCATGGAATATGGAAAGCTATGACAATTAGGGTTTACATGGTGTAACCCTACTTGTGCCACAACTATATAAAGAACCCTATGCAAGCAAAATCGACTACTACTTGTACAAGATAGAGGGCAATCCGATTTTGAGGTGTTAGTGAACTTCTCTCAAGGTTATTCCAAGTGTTGTGGTGTTGTGTGAGACATTTGAGGCATCACACTTGAGGTGCTAGGCTCACAAGGTTCTCAAGGAATCCAAACCACAAAAGGTATGTTCTTCTTCTAG